ACAGAGCAACACAACACAAACAGAGCAACACAACACAAACAGAGCAACACAACAACACCCAGCACCAACATGTTGTTCTGAACGGGAGAGGTTTTCGACCCTTTGCTCCATGGAGATGAAAACATCCTCCAAGACGACGAGTGACGAAACATGAAGAGCAGTTTGGGTGAAGGTACAAGTAATACATGTCAGGGACTGAGGAGTTCCTGCTGAGGTCCAGGTCTTCAGTCTCTGTGTGTGTATTTGTGTGTCCCCATAAGGATGTCTCGTTGGTGGGTTAAAGGTTAGGTTTAGGACTAAGGTGTGAATTGCGGATGGGTCAAGGTTGTGTTTATGTGTGAATCTTTCTGTGACTTTCATTTTATGAGTACAAATTTTGACCTGAATTTTCTTCCTCTCAGCTGATTGGTCAATTTCCTGTCAATCACAAATTTAACGATCCAATCAGAGAACAGATGGGCTTGGTTGTAGAGGCCTCATTGAGTGGGCCAGTCGTCAGAGCGTCCGCCATATTACAAGATCTGTGGCCGAACTGCCGGTTTACTAATACAAGGAAATGGACTGAACTTCATAAAGCACCGCTCTACAAAGTGTTTGAAGTTGATCCCGGTCATTCACACACACTGATATACTTGTAAAACAAACTGGCACCAAAGACAACATTTGTAACACTCAAAATAATACGTATGTTGGTTTAAACTCAATTCAATTCAGTTCAGTTTATTTATATAGTTAGTGCTTACTTTTAACGTAAACATTTAAGGAGTAAACATTTTTAATAATCACATTAAAAGTTACAAATGTTTTCTTTGGTGCTGGTACTGGTAATGGTTAGGGTCAGGGTCAGGGTTAGGCTGTAGAAATGACTGGAAGTCAATGCAAAGTCCCCACAAAGTCAGAAATACAAGACCGTGCGTGTGCATGTGTGTGTGATGTCACTGATTTGGTTAACCTATAGTAAAGGCCACGGCCCCGATCTCTGAAGACACTAAACTTGACGTCTCCGATTGGGAAAAATTACACCTGCCACCATAACCTTTACTGCCTTTACAGCCTGGTGCTCGGTAGGAATCAGTGCGCGAACACGTACGCACGCACGCACGCGCACACACACACACACGAGGCAGGTAGTGGGCACATTTCTTCTCAGATAAATGTGTTTTACTGAGAGCTGATTTGAGATTATTCCTCTCTGGCAGTAAAACTGTGTGTACGTGTGCATGTGTGCTAGTCTCTGCAGGGGAAACTCGTATGTTGCTGCCTTTAATGACCAATGTTGAAAAGGAAGGAAAACCAAACGAATAAAAGCTCTAGTTCCTGTACAGACGGTCCAGCACGTGGTGAAGGTCCATGTTTCCACT